ATTTTTACGAAGGGCCAGAATAAATGTAGACAGGAGTTTTTCATCTACCATTTTGGTCTGCAAAAAAAGTAAAAAAAAAAAGTAAAAAAAAATACTTGTCCATTTTATACTATTTCTAATATCTTTCTATCTGCGATAGTTCTTATAATAGCTTGCATAGTATTTATCTCTATATGATCTATAAAAGGAGAGGATTAATGAATCAAACTTTATAGAAAACTCTATATGAAGGAAAAACTATTGAATGTTGCTATTCTAAGTATTGATAAGCGCTCTAATCTAAAATCTTGAAAGTACTTGCAATTTTCATTGGCATGATTAAATATAACATTTTTGTACCTTATATATCTCTTATTGTTCTTATTAATCAGTTTGTATATATTTAGTCTAATAATAGTAATAACATCAAAAATTTTCAATAATAGCAAATTTAAATAGTTATAACTTTTTTTTATTATCATTGTGAGATATTGAAAACTAGGATGTTTGAGAATTGTCGATTTCAGAGTAAATATTCAATCGAATATAAAAAGTAATAAAATTTGTTTAGACTGTGCAAGGTTAATGAATATATGTAGATGTCAATAAGAGGCAGGTTCTAAGATAACGAAGTTCTTAAAACTTTTTGAATCATCAATCAACATTTGATAAAATGAGACCAATTTTTTAAAAATTATTACATAGCATAAAAATATAAAGAACCCCAAATTGAAGATAAAAAAAATCCTATGATAGACAATTCATCATCCTCTTTAAATTTAATGTCAATTGTACCTGTTTAAATCACTTTCTTTGATGACATCGAAGCAAATAGTGCTCAGAAACAATGTAAATATAAAACTGTTCATGGAAGCAAAATTTTTACTATTTAATTAAAAATAAAATTATGTAAAACCTAGTCGATCTCAAGCAAGTATAGAAGAAACGAAAAAGGATTGATGCAACTTAATTCTTTTACAATTGTTAATTTTATTAGTTTTATCATTTCGATTAAGGTATTACATTCGTTTGTAATTGACATAATAATTAAGTTTTTAAGAAAGGAAAAGTAATAAAATGATGTTCCACGTATTGATGTACGTGTTTTATTTATAACAATGAATGTATGTATACATATTTATAGTGATATAACTAACCGTATCGTAATTAATATCATTTAAAAATAATTATTGTCACTTAATTCTTCCGATAGATAAATACGGTGTTAAGGTAATTTTATGAACCCATTCATAAAGCACAATTGATTATATCTAAATAGAATAAAAAATTTTATGTTCATAATTAATACAATTTAATAAAGTATTTTGTAAATTTATCTAATTTATTATTTTATTTATATTAACGGTCTATTCTTTATAAAACTTATTAATATCCACCGTTCAATCTCCAAATGCATTTCAAACTTTTAGCATAACAGCATCTGAGAGATCATTTCTACGAATTTTTCGAATTCGAAAATTATAGTATCGAACATGAATACACAAATAATTATTGATGTTTATTTCGTAACTGAAACTGAAATGGTCTATTGTAAAATCTTTGAATGCACCAATGAATAATTTGGCACATAAGATTTTATTGCCTTTTAAAACCTATAACTTTATTTGTAAAATATTTTTGCTATATCATTGTCATTATTTTCAATGAATAATAAATTCATGAAGTGTAGCCTAGTAGATTATAAACCGTATCATTATAAACCGCAATTCAAAGCTTGAAATTGTTGGATAACGTCGAGAACATAACGTAAAAAATATAACGTCAGTAGCCAAAAATATGCATCAAATTGTAATACATAATGAGAGATTATTTTCATATGAACTATGAGTAAATTTGTAAGAAACTCCTAATTATATCAAATAAAATCGTTGGTCAATGTCAGAAATATTTTGTTATAACACAATTTAATTGAGAACATTGGTATCTATTGATACACCTTGGAAGTAATGTGAAAATTTATTCATTAGTTATAAATATAATTTTATCGTGGATCGATAAGAGAGACTGTTTCGTCTCTTGCTACCTCACCTTTATAGAAGTATTCATCAGATAGTAGAATGATATTCATGGAATGCAGAAATACCAAAATTGGAATTTTATAGAGTCGTATTTTTATGACATTGATTAGTATTTGATCTTTCGGTATTTAAAGTTTCTTACCCAATTTTTTCCTTGTGTATAAATATATATTAAGTAGTTATTTTATAGCATTGATTTGGTATATATGAACCCGTCTGTCTTTTAGTGTTCATAGATATAACGTTTTACGAAATTATTTGTTGTTTGCGACACATAAGTATTGTTTTTCTTCATCGGTCGTGTGCGGTTGCTTTATTTCAAAATTGAGCCAATATTAGATGTATTAATTTTTGATAATTTTTTAAGCTTCTACACTAAAAGAACTCCATACATTTCGATAATTGCTTTACTCTATTCTTCATCGCTCAAATTTTTTAGATTAAGAATCATAGAAATTCCTAAATATTTATTTCTTAAATTCATTCAATTAAGTATTTATATTTATTTTATCTTTTTAGGCAAAGTTTAATATATATCTAATTAACTTATGCCACATACACATATTCATTTCATTAGCCATTGAATGTTAGTCAAAAGAAGAACCATTTATAATAAACAGAATTATCAGAAATTTTTTATTCAAAATTTAATAATATGTAATATAATATAATAATTGAATATAAAAATAATATTCAAACTTGATTTCATTTCTTTAAAATTATAAATTAAATAACACTATTAGTTATATTCATAATTGTAAATATATGAATTAATAAATAAATCTCTATATTTATTCATTTATAAATAGATTACACACCACACACACACACACACACACACACACACACGTATATATAATCTATTTATATATTTCTAGTTATGAATTATAATATATAATTATATAATTACACATGATTTTATAAACAACAAATATTTATTAATATTAAAATAACATTTTGTATATTATTTTAAATCATATGAAAAAATTATAATTGTATTTAAAAGTAAGTGAAAAACGTGAAACATATAAGTAATTTATTTAATTGACAAAATAATATTATAAACATTAAAAATAAAATATTTTTGTTTAAAGAAACTAATAATTTTTATAATTTTAATTTATAGCTTTTTTGGTATTTAATACATTCTTTAATACACATCAAATCAAATCTAAATAAATATAAAAATTTATTTAAATACCACTATTGTCAAATAGTGTTAATGGAAATTATAAATATATAAATGATGAATACAAGAAATTATATTAAAAATATAAGTTTTTGATTACTTTAAAAAATTGTAATATACTCTAAAAAAATTTGTTTTAATTTTTTTAATCTTTTCAATATTAGCATTTATTTTAATAGAAAAAAAATTACAAATTTATAGATTTTATATCGTTATATTGCCTTCACAGTATTAATAGTATTTTGAAACAAGAAGATAATCAATTTAAGTCTACACTTTAAAAAATTTTAATTATAATTAAATTTAATTCTTTAACATTAAGAAATTTTCAAACATATTATGTATTACTTATATTAAAATAATTGTCTTAATAATAAAATTAAAAATAGTTATGAAATTATAAGGAGAAAGATTCAAAATATAATTATGCAGAATTATATAGAAAAAATAGTTTAGAACAATATATAATGACATTTTATTATTAAATTATTAAATTTTATAATTTTTTTATAAAATACTTGGATTCAGAACTTTGCAATACAATAATGTTTTTAACTTCATAAAATTTTGATAATGTTAATTATTAAGACAATTATAATTTTTAAATATCGTTAAAATTGTGTATTGGATTGAGATGATAATGCTTCAAATTATTTAAAAATCAAATTATCAAAGTGCTTTCGTTTAATTGCGTTCTTTGATATATACTTATATATTTTCGTATATTACTATTGTATGTATTGTATTTATATTTTTGTACGATTCTACAATCTAGAAAATTTTTATAATAAAAATAAAAGAGAATTTTAATGTAAATTTAACACTACATATTTTAACAGTTTAAAAGTGCTAGGGACTCTTCTGTCACAATTTGTCTGCAATTAAATTAACAATTAAGTCCAATTCTAATATTAAATTTTAAATGCAATAAAAATGCGTCGAAATAAAAAAACCAATTGAACACAAATATATATTTTTTTTTACATATTTAATTATTACAAAATATGGATTATTATAAATAATCGAGTTCAATTAATCAAGATCAATTAAATCACTCGGGATGTTTAATAAAATACTCAGAAATATTAATTATTAAGTTAATAATAAGTTTATTGAACATAAATTTAAAAACTTAATTTGTCAATTCATATTAATAATCATTAATATAAATATGATCTATTAAAGTTGTTCAGATCAATTATGCACTTAAAATATGAAAGATTTTTAAAAACTTAATTTTTTTTATAACATGATTAACATTGTTGCGATTTTTAAGAAATTAATTAAATCATCTTCAATTAATATCTTTAATTGATTAAAACAATTATTTTCTACCCAATGATAATTTTTATTGTTATTAATATATTAATACGACTCGAATATGTATCGTATCTTACGTAGATACCGATTATTCTGAATCTATCAATAGTATATAGAAAATAGTACATAACATATATTATAAATAAATTCATCGTTTGAAAGCGATATAAATTAAATTGAGATTCAAACAGTTTTTTATTGTGACTGTTTGATATAAAAACACTGTATTTTTTAAAAATTTTATATAAATATATATATATATATTTATATATATAAATTAAATAAAATTTATTATAAATAAAAATTTATTAACGAGCTAATATTTTTAATTTTTTTTGAAGATCAATTATATCGTGAACTTAATGAATTAAATAAAAAAAATGTACATGACTTACTCAAAATATCGGAATGAGTTGTCGGTGAACATATTTGTTTATCAATAAGCTTTGTTTGCTTTTTCGGAATTTATTATTTATTAATACATATATTTTCTAATTAATTTATTATTAATTTTTTGAACTATATAGTATTAAATTCTATGAAAAGAATAGTGTTTGACACATAATCAAAGAGAAATTATTTTCACTTTTATGCTTGCTTAATTTGAAAATTCATCGGTTATATCGAATTCATAAAATCACTTAATACACATCTTTATTTTAGCACGCGCACGCGTATTAGCAATTGCATGAAAAGGTTAGAATTTGGTTTAAAGTTCTTATTTCTGGTTTCTCACTTTCGTCTTTCTAAGTTGACTATCTCTCCGCTCTCCAATGGCGTCGATCCAACAAGAAACATTTGGTGTTCTTGGTTCGTGAAAAGTTAACGAGTTATTGAACTGCCTGGCCATTCGTGAGAACGATATTTCTATATAATTGCTCGAATTAAGTGAAAAATCAAAGGAAGATGACTGCTATACCTGGATCTGTCCTTTTTGACGAATTTGGTAATCCATTCGTAATAATTCGTAATCAGGAGAAACAAAAGCGACTTACCGGCAACGATGCTATTAAGGTACAGTCATAACCTCAATGTACTTCTTGATGTACTTTTTCACATATTATCTTATTATTATAAATGTTTTCCTTATTCTGTTTAATTGAAACGTATTAAGCTTCTTGTTCCTCATTTAATAAATAAGTTATTATTAAATAAATCCTTTGTAAGACTTTTAAAATTAATTTTAAATTTATATTAAAACACGTGATAATAGAAAAATGGCCGCTTTACGGATTTAGTTTAGAAATTACTTGAGCAGCATTAAATATTGACGTCTATAATAGAATAAGAATAAATAAATTGCAAGATAAATGAATTATGCTTGATTTAGATTTACAGGAATGTCTTTCTTACTTATTCGTTTTTTAATTCTCATTTTCCTTATTTTATGCCCATAAATGGATCTATTGCAGAGTTTTACTCGTACATGAATTTTACTCGTTTAATTATAAGAATTATATTCATTATACAAATTTATTTAGTAAAATGATCTTTAGATTATTTTAGAACTTATAACATTCTTATCAGTTATAGGTTTCAAATTTTGCTTAAATTTAATTTTTTCAACATTAATTGTATCTTAAATTATAGTTTTTTAAGACTAAAGAAAGTAATATAGGATTTAACTTTATTGTTAAGTTTTACTCTATTGTTAACTACTCTTAATTTAAATAACATTTTTAATTATATTGTATATTCAATTGTTCATGAGATGATTTAACTAAAAGTTTTTAATAGTTTGATTTAATAAAATTTTATGATTTATAAATAATGGATGTAATTGTGCAATTATTCCAATATTGTGAAGTTAAAATATGCTCAATGAATATATATATATATATATATATATATATATATATATATATATATTATTGTGTATATTAAATTATAACATTTGAAAATATATCAATATTCTCATTAAAATGATGTTCTATTAAATAAATAAACTATTTAGCCTTCTATAATAATTATTCAATTAATTAAACAATATTAATTGATATCAAACATAATCGTAAAAGGTTTAATTTCATTTAAATTTAAATGTTCATAATTTATATTGATTTTCAATTATTGATACATACAGATATTTCATATGAATTATAATTAATGCAATCATTTTTATTATTTAAATAATTAATATATAAATTGTATTACGTACCAATATTTCTTTATTTATTTTACCTAGTCACATATTATGGCTGCAAGAGCCATTGCCAGTACACTCAAAACTTCTTTAGGTCCAAAGGGCTTGGATAAATTAATGGTCAGTAGTGATGGTGATGTCACTGTAACCAACGATGGTGCAACAATATTGAAAAATATGGATGTAGATCATGAAATAGCTAAGCTTATGGTTCAGTTGTCCCAATCACAGGATGATGAAATTGGTGATGGTACAACTGGTGTTGTAGTATTGGCTGGAGCTCTTTTGGAACAAGCAGAACTATTGCTTGACAAGGGTATCCATCCTATTAGGATAGCAGATGGATTTGAATTGGCAGCACAATTTGCTATTGAATATCTCAATCAAATTGCAGAAGGCTTTCCTGTAAGCCCTGACAATCTTGAGCCTCTGATTAAAGTTGCTATGACGACTCTTGGTTCAAAAATGTAAAATTTTATACCTTAAATTTCTCTAAAAATTAAAAAATGTTTCAATACCTATGATATCTTTTACATAATTTTTATATAGATAAAATATACTTATTTGATGAAATTAATATAAATATAATTAATATAAAATATGGTACATTGAAAAGATTTAAAAATATGTAAATGATGAAAATTTTAATTTAATGCTTATATCTAATAATGACAATGGTAAAGAAAAAAATTCATAAATTATAATAAATAAGTTTTTATTATTTTTATTACTGTTAAAAAATTTTCAATATTAATAAACAATGAAAATTTATTTTAAAAGTAAATTCTTTTTAGTTTTTCTAATTATGGATTACAAAATCTGAATCTATATTTTTATTTCATTGGTTTCAGTGTCAATAAATGTCACAGGCAAATGGCAGAAATTGCTGTTAATGCTGTAATGGCAGTAGCAGATTTCAAAACTCGAGATGTGAACTTTGAACTTATTAAAGTTGAAGGAAAGGTTGGTGGACGTTTGGAAGATACAATGTTAGTTCATGGTGTTGTTATAGATAAAGATTTCAGTCATCCTCAAATGCCTAAGGTAAATATTAAATGTATTTTATTGTAATAAGATTATTGAAAAAAAAAAAAATAGATTTCTCCCTTAAAGACTGCTATATTTGAAATACGTACAAATTATGTTTATATCTTTTTAGCATTTAGAAAAAGTCAAATTAGCTATATTAACCTGTCCGTTTGAACCACCCAAGCCAAAAACCAAACATAAGCTTGATGTTACTTCTGTTGAAGATTATAAGATACTGAGGGCATATGAGAAAGAAAAATTCATTGATATGGTGACAAAAGTAAAGGATGCTGGAGCTACTTTGGCTATATGTCAATGGGGTTTTGATGATGAAGCTAATCATCTTCTTTTGCAAAAGGAATTACCAGCTGTTAGATGGGTTGGAGGTCCTGAAATTGAAGTAAGCATTACTTATATTAAATATTAAATTTCTTCTATAATTTTTTAATCATTTCATATTTGCCCAATGATGAAAAATTGCCTAGAGAAGCAGGCGGTTGTGAAAATTGTTTTACTTTATTAAAAAAAATTTTGTGTTTAAGCATTTGATGAGATTGAATCCCAACTGTGCTAAAAATACAAAAGTTGAATTCAATAAAGTATTGTGAGGATCTAACTTTGCTCATGGCTTCAATGATTTAATGATTATGAGATATGAGGGCTTTTTATTCTTTTTTTTTTCCTTTTCTATTAAATATTTTTAATAAATTAAATGATTTGATCAAACATTTAATTTTGTGCACTTTTTATTATACAATAGTTGATAGCCATTGCTACTGGAGGTCGTATTGTACCTCGTTTCGAAGAACTGTCGCCTGAAAAATTGGGTTATGCAGGCATAGTTAGGGAGCTGATTTTTGGTACCACTAAAGACAGAATGTTAGTGATTGAAGAATGCAAAAACTCAAGAGCTGTCACAATTTTCATTCGTGGTGGCAATAAAATGGTAAAAATTATTGTTATTTCTAAGATTGCAAGGAGAATTACAGCGGTGTCACTAAATATGCTTGACTGTTCAGACACCTTGCAATATAAAAGAATCTCAGTTTTTTGATAGTTTAATAACATAATTGTTACTGAACTCGGTGTGGATCCTACATCTTAAATAAAATTGTAAATAATTATTTAGATAGCAAATATAAATATTTTTACTATGAATACAATGACAAATATTAATAAGACATTAAATATGTTAATTTTCTTAATGCATTATGTTCAACTGTACTTTTTTTTTGACAGAACTTTTATGTAACTCATCCTTGAGGAGAATATGTAATAAAAGCATGCGATATCAAAGAAGACAAAGCAGCAAAGAAATGAATGATTTTTATACCAAAAGACATTGGGAATAAATAAGATTTGAAATTGAATCCATATGTTGTAGATTGTGGAGGAAGCTAAGCGTTCTATTCACGATGCTCTCTGCACAGTGCGCAACCTCGTGACAAACGAGAAAATCGTATACGGGGGCGGTGCTGCTGAGATTGCGTGCTCGATTGCGTGTGCTGCCAATGCTGCCAAAATCAGCTCTCTGGAACAGTATGCTTTCCGGGCATTCGCTGATGCCCTCGAGGCCATACCCATGGCTCTCGCTGAAAACAGTGGATTCTCCTCGGTCAATGCACTTTCGGATATTAAGTCTCGGCAAATATCCGAACATAAACCGATCTTCGGAATCGATTGCATGAATCGTGGGACTACAGGTATGTTCTTTGCATTTATTATAGCTTTTATTACTGTTTTTATTTATTTTTATTAGTTTTGGAATTTAAAGCAGTAACAATACGTAATAATAAAGTAAAAATTTGTAAAAAATTCATTAGTTTTTAGTTATCCTTTAGAAAATAAGTTAATAAGATATATCATTATTTTGTGTAACCAAAACTTGCTGCTTATTGAAAGGATAATTTTTATAGTATGTTCCAAATAATTTGAAACAAATAATTTTAAAGCTTAGATAGCGACTACAATTTCTTTTTAATTAAAATATTGATTTTGTATTTCAGATATGAGGGCACAAAATGTTATTGAATCCCTTAAAAGTAAAGTACAGCAAATTGTATTGGCCACACAATTGGTCAAGATGATTCTGAAGATCGATGATATTCGTTCGCCAGCCGATGCTGCTGGTTATTAATAATCTTTAGTTTTTTTTTTTTTTTTATTATTATACTATAAAATTGTTATAAAAATAATATTAAATATTTTTGTGACTTATTACACGCTTCTTTTGTACTTTTAATTTTAATACATACACAATCGCAAACATAACATACATACATATTGCAAATGCAAAGTAGGTATTTTTCATTGTCACGTATCATACGAAAAATTAATTTATATACAAATAAAATATCAAATCGGAAATATATATCGTTTTATTATATGCCTTGTAATAAAAGTATGTCTATTTTATAAAAATAAAATATAAAAATCAAATTTAACAAGTTTTGAATATCAGACTAGCAAATCAATGTGTCTTAATTCACTGTATATTTTTAGTACATCACTTTAAGAAATTTTTTAATGATTTTAAAAATATTAATATTGTAAATGAATAATTTCCAAAATTTTGTTTTGTTTTATTCATGTATGAAAATGAAAATAATTGTGAAAGAAAATTAATTTATAAATTATCAAATATGTTTTTTAAAAGTTATATTTATTGTTTAAAAATTGATTATGGATATTTTGTATGTTTATATAAATTTTGTGTAGATAATAAAAACTGAGTTCAAATCATCAAAGTAAGTTAAAAGAAATAGAAAATTAACGTGTCATGTAAATAATATATGTTATTTTGAAATTTTTAAGAATGAAATCAATTTGTCACATTAATAATAATAATATAGCTTCACCGAGACAAAATAAATCTGTTTAAAGTAAAAATTTTCCTTCATTTATTGCCTAGTAATTTTTTATTCTGGTCGATAGCCATTAGATGCACCTATTTCATATACGACATTCAACGTAAAAAATGTTGAATAGAAACAAATTTATTGTCCATGTGTATATTATAATAAAATGCCACATCAAAAAATATAGCATTCTCAAGCAATCATGCATGCATTTTTTCAGTATAAAAAAATTGCTAATGAAAGTGTAATATGAATATTCAAATATTTTTCACCTCCTTTTTGAACTTGGTCATAACAATTTTATTTCTTTCATTTAAATACCATATCACAAAATATACATTTTATGCAAACATTTATACATACTTTTTTGATATTTCCTTTATACATAGTAATTACACTTATTTGAGCATTTTTGAGTATGTAAAAAAAAGAATAAATTTGCATTAACAAAACAACTTTTTTTATGCAAACGAAACGGTACGATAATTGTTTTATTACATGTTACTATCCTTTATTTAATTTTTTTGTTTTGTTTTACGAATCACAAATAAGGACCACACGTTTGAGAATAATTTAAACTAATTTTTTCATTGGCCGTTTTTTACAGTCATATATAAATTGTCATATAAATAATTATTAATCATTTGTTTTGGTAGTTACATCGTAATAGTTATTTTGATACTTCGGAATACAGTGAACAATCGTCTACAATTTTTTTTTATAGTCTCATTTTCTTTAAACCGAATATGGATTGAACGTGATTCAAATTCTTAATTGTGTCTAAAAATAATTTATTCATAGTGCACATAAATAATATTTATAATTTCACATTTTCAGATAAATACAAGTTCAGAAACTTATGGATTGAAATATAATTAATTTGTGTGAATAACACTAAATTGCTGTAACCACATTTCATAGAAAAATTCATTATTTTTTCAATTTACAATATTATAATTATATATTCATTTTATTTTTCTCCTAGTTATATTATTAAAAAATATCTATCTAAAGAATCAACAATTCTTTTTAAAAAATGATGTCGAACGAATTTGTTAAATGAACGTCTTGAATACTGAAAACGTAACTTAAAATAATATTTTTGAAAAGTTTTATTATGTTTATACGTATATACATGGATATATATGCTTATATATAAGGAGAGAATTAATAAATAATTGCATTATAAATATTTGTACGATATATTTTTTAATTTGATGTAAGCTGAACAGTTGTAATGTAAATAAATTTTGAAATTCAAAAAATTAACTTTAATATAAATTTTTTAATCCAAAGATTGTTATATATTATGAATATGGTAATTTTTCAAATTTTTCACGTACATATGCAAATAAATTAAAGCATAAGTCATTTTATCTCTTGTCTCAAACAAATATTGAAACACTATACTTTTAATGATTAAATTTTATTCTCACTGTTTTTTTTTATATTTTTATTTTTTTATTTTTACTACTATATGACTGCTATAAAGCAAAAGTAAACTGTATTCTTATAATGAAAAACAGCTTTATTTAATTATATGTATGGCATTAAGTGACTGTTATTTGCTATAACGGCACACTTTAATTAAGAATCCATTATACATTGTAAAGAAAAAATATATAAAACGTGATCTCAAATGAATATCACGAATACGCTACTTCACTTAAACCATTTCTATTTTTCATGCCTATCTACCTATGTATAATATGTATTCTAGAGTAATGGAACATCGGCTAGATCGTGCGATAATTGAAAATACAAGTGTCCGTTTAACGAACATTTGTAATATATAAAATAAGATACTGCACGAATTTAAGTCTTCGTCTTATAATAATTCTTCGTACTTTTGATATCACTTGTCAAATGAAAATGGCGCGAACGCATTGACTACAAAGCAAGGACGAAGAAAGTTTATCCTTAGATTTTCTTAAGCATAGGCATATTAAGTACTTCCGGCACTTCGATGTCTTCTAACCGAATGTTCGATGGGTGAAACGGAAATCTAATTGGATACGAGAACTTTAGATCCATGAGTAGCTGTAAGCAGAAAAGAATAATGATCAAATTTCAACATTAAAAATTATTGTTATTAGTATTTATTTATCGAAGTTGAACGATCGGAATGCAAAGTATATCTCATTAAAGCCAGAAGCTTGTGAAACATGTTGTATTACCGAGAATTGTAAGCGAATATAAATGAAATCAAATTGAATCCCTTTAATGGATCAAAAAGTTACGGCTGGGTTATAATTAAGCCATTGGCATGAAAAGGAGCGCCGTGATTTATCGCACCTGTTCATGGTTCTCGCCGCGCTCCTGTAGTTTTGCTTGGACCTTCCTAATGAAAGATACGGGCACTCGGGTCTCGAATTCGTCCGCCGGCGTGTAGAGATTGAGGATCTTGACGATCTGATTAGCGGAGAGCTTGTTGCACATTTCACACACTGAGCAAACATCCTCATCGTGTTTACGTGCCTGAAGGAGTTGCGCTGCCTGGATAATTGGCTGTAGGGCCTCGATAGCCGATACGAGACGCTCGTCCCTTGCCCATTGCTCCAGGTGGCTCAGGTTGTACCTACGAACAGGCACGAGACCTTACAATAGTGAGAGCTTGACCCTAGCCAAAAAATACGAAACACGATATAACCGTTGGCTACTTCTTGATTATTTTGTAAGATGAAACCGTAATGTGCTCAGCACTTCATTAGATAATTTATATAATAAGCAATCTACGAACGTTTCCACTAACTAGTTTAATAAAATGTAGAGCTACTGCTATTCCAGCGGCTATAAACTGCTACTCCAGCAGCAAGTTTTTTTTTACGTTAAAAATGCGTTATGAAATTTTACTTAAGAACCGATTTGTTCATTCATCCGTTCATTGTGTTTGTTTTTATTTGCTTATAAATTTGAAAGCATTTAAATAATTTTCTTATACGAGGTTTTCAATTTCTATTTTTTGTTTTTTTCGTTTTTTTTTTTTTTTTTTTTACACAATACGATCGATTAATTTCCTTCGTGTAGTTTAAATCATTTGTCGAAATAACTTAGTATGCATGATTAGCATTTAAAAATAGCGTCGTCTAAAAAAAAATGCAAATTAATTGCAGATATATTCGAATAGCGTGTGAGGCAAAGGATCGGTCGCGCTGAAAAAAGAATTTATTAATCGTCGATTTGGGAAATTTTCGAAACTATAAAATGCTTTTCGGAGCAACGGCACTGGATATGGATCGCAAAGGCCCACCTAATCTGCATGCCCTTAGTCCAGTGGCAGAGCTCGTTCCTGAGGAGGAGGTTGTTGAGCGCGCTTGCGCACATGAAGTAGAAAAGTTGTTTGAATATTTGCTCGACGATCTCTGGATCAACACCGTGGTAGAGCAGCTGTTTGTACACGACCATGAGCTCGTCGAGGAGTTTGTTGAGCTTCTGCTGAGTGTAATCAGCCTCCTGGTCTACGGAACACGAGCGCGGCCTGCGCGCGTGTGCATCGAGGCCCGTGATTGCTTCGTGTTCCAGGAGGGCTGGTACCGTAAGCGCTTGGATGCGCTCCTTTAGCTGCGTCACGATGTTGTTGAAGATCCAGAGAGCAACGTTGCTAAGCACCACTCGGTACTCGCTCAGGTCGAAGTTTCTTAAGCATTGCTCGTTCTGCCTCGGCGTGTTCTCTAATAAATTTATCTGGCATGAGAAAGCGATGAAGGCAAGTAGTTTTTCACTTTTAAAAGCGCTCTTTGTGAAATAATAATCCTGACGTATTATTATCTCTTTATAATAGAAAATTTTCGCTTCCCGAATTGCAAATCTTGTCCATACATTCTTAATAGCTGTTTCTCAGAGCTATTTATTTACTTTATAATTTAATTTAATTTCTACCGTATTATATTCACTATTTTACCATTTTACCGTCACGGTTACAATTACCACGCATTTAAAAATATTATCCGAATCCATTACATCGAATTGAATATGACAAACTCGCTTGCTTTAAATAAGGTATTATTGTAATTATCTTAGTTCTGGTATCCGTAATATATAAATATACAACTTTGTAATATATAAATAAATAATTAAATAATCGACACTTATTTCACGAGTAAAGTGCAGATTTCATTATAATTAACATGATAATGGAGCTGTTTGAATTAAAAACACATTGTTTTATATGGATGGCTGGTTAACCAAAGTCAACGTTTATCCAACTCATTCACAAGGTTATATTTTTATATAAATTTATATAAAATATAATTATATAAACAATTGAAGCAATTAAATTAATAATTATCGAACTCCAGCTTGAAGAAAAATTTCGCCAAACTGGCTCGAAAAAATTGTTGACTTGTAGCTAGTGGCCGACTCACCCTGTTGAAATGGCTTATCGCCCGAGTACTGTTTCATGCTGTGGAGCAGCCTCAAAATGTTGCTGAGCCAAAGGACGCTCGATTCAAAGTCTTCACGTCTTTTTATGACGCGCTTCACCATGTTGAGGTAGTTTGTGAGCAGTGAGCGAACCTTGTCATCGTCGTTTATGCAATCGGTGTGACGGATGCACATGAAAATGATGTAGGCCGGTAGACCCGGCAGTAGAGTTATCGCGACGCGGGGGTTCAGCTCTAAAAGATCATCGTCGGTTATATGTTGACGTATAATAATAATAACACCGAGTGCCCAATTTAAAGGGCCGTCAATTTAATATTAATTACTCGTACATATTAAATACATACGTACATATTAATTCAACGCGATATATTTTATTAATACTTAAAACGGACAAATCTATCATCGTTGGAGAATCTGAACTTATTCATGCATATAGATGTAGATTGAGTGGCTCGACACTTTGTACATTAATGTTCTAAACTATATCAATGATAAATTATTAGCTCTCATAACAACCTATGAAAATATCCGACTCAGTCACTTATCTAAGAAATAATAATTAGTATTAATTCATAAATAAACGAATCGCTTTCATATTCTCATATCCAGAGTACAAACGTATCCAATGTTCAAAACAATTCACATGAATATAAACTGACCTAAAACAAGTTTTCGCATTATCACTCCAATATCCTCCTTTCTGAATTCGAACATGCCCTCGAAATCGCGTTCCTTCTTCCGAATTACTGGCATAATGTTGTTGCTTTCACCGGATGAATTGGTCGTCGCTGAGATTACGCCGCAATTGTTACTCGAACTTGCGCTTTCAGGCACTAAAAATTAAAATTCATATTTATATTACAAATTCTGAACCATTATGCCGGAGAAGGCTGGACAGGCTACCATATTTTTTTATCAAAAGAAAAACAATGTTTATACGTAGTGTTGTACTTTAGCTTTCAGTTAAATTAAAATAATTTCAATGTTGTGTCGCTCGCCGCAAATCATATTCATGCCAAATGCAGCGGAAACATTCTAATTTAACATCTGATCCCTTAATTTCTTCGTTTATATACGCATCGCAAAATGAGAATTAAATGAAGTTGGTTAATAAGGAAATAATTGAACACCCATACTTGTTAATATTAATAAATACTTCTATCATTTCATTATCTTAATATAATCAGCCAAATTATTAACATTAATTATCTAAAATAATGTGCACAGAAACTTACAGCCTGCATCTTTAAAGCGCATCTGAAGCTCTTTTATTTGTTTTTTCAGTTTTCTGCATTCGTCGGCTATTTTGTCATATTTTTCTTGAAGATCCTGAAATTTTATTAAGTAATTAATTGACTGTAACGATACTAAATCGTTGAATAAAATATTTAAGAGTTAATATATTTCATATATAGAGTTATAAGATTGAAAAAACAAATATTTTATAAATATTTATCGTATAAACATTTTTATATAAAATTGTTAATATTTAAAATTGGTTTTTATCACAAAATTTTACAAAATTAATGAGAAAAATGCATTTTATACTTTAGTCTTATTTATAGTTCGAGTTTCAAAACTTATTAAATAAAGGCAGTGCTCGTTAGTGATTACTTAACGCGAAATTCATAGATTTTGCATGCTTAAAAATGCTTTCATTAGAAAATGCTCTATTATATTAATTCAAGTGAAAATTGTTATAGCTTAAAATACAATATAATGTAACTCGGTTGTTTAGTTTAAATGACAGGTAAAAAAATAGGTCCGTAATTGAAAGCACGATGTTAGATGAGAATAGTCCAGATTAAGATAAGTTATCTGCGCTGAAAATAAAGGAGATATAAGGAAAACAAAAATCACAGATCGTTAATTGCCTTTTGTATTTGGCCAATCGAATATTCAATTAATATAAATTGACATTTCTACGTTATTGGTCATTATTTCAGAAAAAGATTTATTTTCTGCCGAATAGTATTTGAACAGCTCGATCTTGTATTCGAAATAACTGGCAAACCTTACCTGAAAATACACAGGTACGAGGAGTCTCACGAATAATTTTTTACTATTTTCAGTGAAAAAAAGTCCGATATAATTTATATATATATATATATATATATATAATTGCAATACTTACCAAGTTTTCAGACGTAAGTCTGGTGATCTCGTATTGCATATAAGCCTCAGTTTGCGTCTGTGGTGATTTGCTCATATTAATTGAAAGTAATTTCTGCTGTTTCTCAATCTCGTTTTGTAGTCTGTCTATTTCTGTATGCCATTCATTCCTTTGTGCTTTCCAATTATTTTCTTTAGCCTGAAGTTCGTTCTCGAGTTGTCTGAGAGTAAAAAAACAATTTTTGCTTATCACGGTGGTAATTGTTGAATTCTCAAACTGTTATGTTAGAAATATTCGTAAATTAAATTTTTATAAGATTCTAAAATTTCTATTTGAATTTTCAATAAACTTAACGAACATTAATCAATATAGTTTTTCTTAACTAAAACTTTTTTAAAGAAATAAAAAGAAGAGTCACGTTTAAATACAACAAATCATTATAATTACTAAGTATTAAAATTGAATTAAATACGCTTAAATCAAAATTTTTTATTATTATAATATTAGCTAGTATTTAGAAATGTAAAATATTTAATTATCATTTAATGTTTTAAGTAAAATTTCAATATAAACACAGTAAATGCATTGGCAGTCACATACTTTATAATTACATAAATGTTTACTTTTTACTGACATTGTAATTAATTTTCATAATATACATGTAAATATATATATATATATATATATATATATATATATATATATATATATATATATATATGTGTGTGTGTGTGTGTGTGTGTGTGTGTGTGTAAATTCATAGCATTTTGATAATATAATGGATACATCAGTAATATGGTATCTTGTTATATCATGGGCCTTAAAGTATTTTTAAGATTATAAGATTATTTATGCTAAGTTTAAGTGGAAGATTAAATATATTAAATCTAAAATAATTAACTTAAAATATTAGACTTTTTCTTCATTAATATTAATTTCTATACATTACAGATACAATCTAGTTGTATAAGATTTAAAAGTAAATCAGTATTTGTTATCGAAAAATTGGCAAAGCAAGTAGAGTTCGATTATGTTGGAAGAAAAATTAGAAAATCAATGTGCATTCTATCCTTTACTTACAGTTTACTTAATAAACTAATACTTAGTAAAATACTTAATACATCTATGGTATGTTCGTTTCATTTACTCAGATACATTTAAAATGATTTTTCATATTGCCCTTAAAATGAACACAAAACAATACTGAATTTAAATATATTTGTTGATAATTCGGTTGCACTATTTTAATTAAATTTTTAAGTAAAAGTTAGTTCATTTTTTGTAACAGTGCATTACCTAAATTCAGCGCAATTCTTATTAAAGTAACGATGAATAAAATTAACCAAAACATTCATTAGTCACAGGTGTTATAATCTTTTAGTTTTACGCTCGGGCATCTTAAAGACGACTGTTACCTGTTTATCTTTTTTTGTGCCTCAAAGGCAAGTACTAATTCGCCATCCTCATTGACGATGTCAACGTCGCGGCCGTAACTCGAGCCAATGCTTTTAATGCGGCACGTATGATCAGCCAAAACACTGTGTAGTTGAATGCACTCTTCGCGCCTGCGCTCAAGCTCCTCTTGTAATGATTCGAAGTGATCTATTGACAAACACTTCGATCAGTAGCGGTTGTGTAAATTCATATAAATTGGTATATAAAGGTTATTTATTCATCTATGTTAATTACAAAAGTCGAGATTCTTTTTAATAATTTTCAAAGCAATAAACTCACCAATAAGTGTTTTTGTTGCTACCGACGGATCTGTATCTGTTACACTTTTCCTTAGCGATCCCAGATCTTTTTTCAGTTGAGCATTTTCCATTTCGAGTTCCTGCAACTTTTTTTTGGAAACATTTGTGTAATTTGCTATTGAAAATTCTACGTATAGACAACAATTTTATTGCCATTTTCTTCAATGGACATACAATTATAACATTAGTTGAAATAACTTTGCAATAGACAACTTCTCGTATAAATTATCTCAGTGAGTCATAATTTAAAATATATTCAGCTTATGTTTAATAGTTTTTTTTTCTTTTTTCAAACAAATAAAATATACGGCTACTTGAGGTAGAGGTCATGACGACAATGAGATTAATCAATTATAATCAATGAAAAAGTAAAGGTATATGGCTCACTTTGAAGGCATCGTGAGTCTTCATTGTATCTTCGGGTCTATTATGTTCAAGACCTTCGACCATTCTCACGAGCCGTCCATTCTCCTTTTCCACGTCTTTGAGCTTCTGTTGGAGTTTGAGAACGAGTCCGACATCGATGGGCATCTGGTTGAGGCCGTTGAATTCACGTGGTGATTTTGCACCACCGCCAGGACTTTCCGGGCGGTACTGATTAAGCTGATTGTGGTGCTGATATTGCTGTTGGCTCCAGTCAATCGTCTCCACTCGTGAGTACGGTGCACTCGAGGACGCTGTGGATCGCACGGAACCATAGCCAAAATCCTAGACATTGAAAACATCAATATGTGACTTGGAATTAAGCGAAATAAATTGGTAAACGTATAAATAATTGTTTAAGATGTCTTATTTCTAATGCGAGGAAATCATTACAAGGATTAATGAAATTAAGAAAAGCATTACTTAGGCATTAATGACGTGGAAGAATTCGAACCGGGAAAATTCAACGCTAGAGAGCGAGCCAAGATTCGTTAAGGTAATTTGTAAGCTTCTAGCACGAATAGAGACGAATTGGGCATGGGATCGCTAAAAAATAAGGCTGCATGCCTCCCCTTAATACCGCAATCTAGTACTCGACTCCGGAGAAGCTAATCTTGACCAGAAACAAGGAGCAAAGAGAGTGGCGTTATGGTCATTTAGATCCGTGTGAATTATCAACGTAAGGTCATAGAGAACGGACGGAGTTGGCTAAGTGACACTATTATTACATTATGTATATCATTCTACATTTGTGGGCGTCTGAAATTATACACCTTATGATAAACTCATACAAATGAGAGGCCCCACACACATAAATACATATAAATACACAAGGGCGCGCGCACATTGTAAATATGAACAACGATACTAGCAATGAAATCTTAAGAAATAGATAATTACAAATTTATAGGAATTTATATTTGAAGAACAGAAAGGCTAATTGATATAAAAATCAATAGTAAGATTGTATTGAATTTGTATTAATTTTAATCGTATTGAAATGATTCGTATAACCAGCTTAAATATAATTGTAAGAATCGAGATGCAAAAGAATGTAAACGTGTGCAATTAATATTCAATGATGCTATTTCTTTATAACTCAAAAAATGCGAATTTGATTCATATTTTTTCGTCGTAGTTTTGAACGAAATAACTAGAAAAGTCAAATAGAAAAATATAACAATCGCTCTTAAAAATGTTATTCACTTTGACGAGAATAAAATTTGAAAAATGTAAGCATATTTTGTTTTTTCACGACTTTATTTTTTAATATTCGTCCTACAATTCAAAATCAATATCGATTGTATTGCGGCACGCTTTTGTTCAATGAATACGTTTTGTCGTTATTGCCTTAAGGATCCTCATGCTATTCACGATTTAAACGAAAATTGATCGGGAGACTTAACCGTTGACGTGCAACAAAGGCACTGGCGACGCATGCGTGCACGCGCATGTCGAGCCAATGCTTTAATGGATATAAATAATAACTTGGATCTTTATTGCTAGTGATGTCGACTAGTGATCTAGTATTTGTTATAGTATGCTCGAAAATTCAAAGCTTATGCTTTATATTTCTTCGAGCGTTAAATTAGTATGAAAAGGTGATATCGGATCGATGAAGCTACCATAATTTAGCAAATGTATAGAATCAATGGTTTTTGAATTCTCTACAAATATTCTTTTTAATTATCTATTGATTATCGAATGCAAAATCATTCTTCTATATAATATAGATTACAGTGTAAAATAATGATTAATTACTATATTCTGATCGTCGTGGGTAAGATCCGTCGAGGCGATGTGTCCACTTCCACTGGAGGCATTGCTAAGTGAACGCGAGTGCCCAGGCTCATGTAATACGAGCTTTTGTTCAAGGAGCTCGGCCCTTTGCTCGAGATCATGATATTCCTTAAGGAGACGTTGGTAGGCACCTCGGTCTTGGTCCTGATCCAAAAGCAGCAGATCCTTTTCGCGCTCAAGGCGCGATTTGAGGTGCTCCTCGGCGCCGCGTTCGTTGCTGCGCATCTTTTCTTGCGACAAGGCGAGTTCCGCGCGTAGTTTTTCATTTTCCCTCAATAAACATTGGTTCTCCTCCTCCTTTCGCTTCACATTCAGATCTTTCATCTGTCAAGATGATTTGAAGTGATTTAGAGAATAATATATTAGTTTATTTAGCCGCAATATTCTATTATAATTCTTACACTGATTTTAGATTATTTTTTTGTTTTTTTTTTTGTTTTTTTTTGTTTTTATAATTTTATAAATGTACTTTCATGTATAATTATAATAATGTACAATAAAAATGCATAATTTTCAATTAATTACGATGTGTGTATAGCAACTTACCCGTACGAGTTCCAGTTTCTCGATTTGCTCATCTTCCACAGTCTTTCTCAATACCTTGAGTTCGTTTTCTTTGCTGAGGAGCAGCGCACTAAGTTTCTTATTCTCATTTTCGATTGATCGGTAGTTTTCAAGCTTTGCTTTCATCTCTCCCATATCCAGGTGTGCCATTTTATAATGTCCGTTCTCCTTTGCCTACGTGAACAGATAGAAAGACGGGATTAAGCTTTTAGGGAACCATTAGATATTTGTAGTCCGGCTTCACGCAATAACATGCACATGTTTTATCTTCTAAAACTTTTAATATAGTAGACCTATAGAGAGGCTCAAACGAATTTGATACATTCAAGTGTTATGTAAGAAATGTATTCATACCGAGTCTATTATGACTATGTAATATAATAATGTGCAGTTGATAATGTCAAGTTGATATTGTCTTTTTTATGTAAAATATGCAGAGTAAGTTATGATTATTACTTGAATATTATAAATGAATCTTTGTTTTATTTAATATTCAATGTTAAAATTTTAATGTTTATCCAGGTATAATACATTCTTAATGTTTTTCTAATACTAAAAAATAAATAATCAAAAGATCTTATGTAGTAGTATAAATCAATTATGAAACTCATAATATGATTGGGATATTTCACCTAAAAATATATCGTAAATTAGTTACAAATTGGTGCTAAAACCTTATTTATTGTAACAACTATTTGATTTAAATATTTGTATACGTATTGGTATTTGCATATTATATTGAGACAAAAATTTAATATACAATATAACAAATTCAAGTACATTAAATTCTCTATATCAAGAAGTTCCTATTCTATTATACATTCTATGCTTATTATTGTAAATTTTAAGATTTATAGTTTTTATATTTGCTTTATTAATAAAATTATTATCTTACAGTATAAAAGTTTATCAAATATCTAAACGTTATATTATATTGAATATAAATGTAGCAATATTATTATCAAAAGATTGAACGTATAAGGAATTTCATTTTTTAAATGTATTTATAGATTTTTAAAAAATAATTAAAATAAAATTAATAGTTAAAATTAGAATAGTACAAAAAATAAGCGCGCGTATGTATTGTAACGTGGTCAAGATATTAAATTTCGACTTATAAAATATGCATGAAAAATAATATTTATATTTATGTGAATTTATAACATTTGTACTTGTTATATGAATAAGTATTTCGTAAATTGTAGGGGACTCAAGTATATAAATTTTTATGATTTTTGTTTTGAAATTGCACACGTAAATTTAAAAATAAAATTAATTAATAATTATAAAACTAAACTTATATACATATATATATATATATATATATATATATATATATATATATATATGTTTTTTGGTATTGTTACATCAATTTAGATATTCCAACATTTGTGAATGCGAATTGAAACAAAACTAGTATACTAATAATAATAAGCTATAATTCGAAAATAAAGCACCAAAACGTATAATAATTGCGATCTTACTAAGTCATCGATTTTATTCTGCAAGCTGATGATCTTCATCTCCAGTCCTTTGTTAAGAGATTTGACGTGTTCGACACTACGAGCCTCAGCCTTGAGCCGCCTAAATATTCGTTTTGCCAGAAATTTACGCACACATGACTGCATTATCACGATATTCCGAAGTTTTTGCTTGCAAATACGGCGAGCCAAGTAACCCCTCACGTACCTAGAGCAAAATATTATGCGATAGTCTCATTTAGTAGCTCGAGCTTTAAAACAAAACAAAACAAAGAAGTAGATATCGAGGTATTTGTTTCAGTATTCCGTAAACTGGCTTCCATTTAGAATATATATTTACGCGATGTTAACGGGCTTAATGAAAACGTGACACAATGCTGAATTGGTAATTGATAATTTTAAAACCAAATAAATTCGGCCACTTATGCTGTTTTAGAGATATCGCGAAACATAACAGCAATCATCAATATCATACATTGTCGTTGATTTATTATTAATTTTTTTATTTTCTTTTTTGCCTTATTTTCTTCATTTAATAGGTCAATTTTTAAAGTCAATTTTTTTTATCTACTCACTAAATTTCATCGTATAATCAACATTGTAATAGCAAACTCGAAGTGTGAGCAGTATCGCGAATCTTCAGGTGTAAAGCTTAAAGTGATCGTCAATCGACTAAAAATTGAACTATTATTTTTAACGCCATAGAAAAAATTAAAAATTTCAAGTGCGCCAGATCTTTTATTAATCCTCGGAGTATTATCGGACCTCTGTATCTTGATGGCCGCGGCATTATCTTGCATTCGCTTAAATTCTCGTCTGGCCAGCATCCCTCTGGCATGAGTTTGCAGCCCGAGGACGAGTTTCTTGGTGATATGGTAGCGCCTCCTGGCCATCCAGGCTTTAGCACAAGCCTGTATTTTGGTGGCGGCTCTTTCTTCTCGAATGGCACGTGCTTGCTTGCGCGCCAGGTAGCCGCGCGAGTATCTTTGGAGCCCGAGGATGGTGCGCTTGAGCCTGTGATAACGCGAGGAGGCTAGGAAGCCACGCACCGTCTTTTGGATCATGAGGCAGGCGTCGCGCTGTTTATCGGCACGAAGCTTTTCCAGGTAAGCCACTTGGCCCGCTCTGAATAGCACCTTCGTCTTGCCGAACTTGAATTTGTCGTTATCCTGCTAGAAAGCACCCACCCGCTGATTAACATTTACAATTCGTAGCTGAGGCAAAAGAGGAACGAGGGCGCTATATTCTCGAGGGTTAGATAATATTAGGACGCACCTTGATATAAGTGGCCAGAATCCTGTGGCACGTCTCTCGTAGGTCATCCCTTCGGATGTCCTTGAACAGGCAAAGACACCGGTATCGCTGAAAGAAGTCGCTGTAGGTCCTTTGACTGGGAAAGCCGGCGGCCGATATGCGTATAGTCTCGAGAACGCCGCAGGCCCGTAGTTGTTGTACTGCCCGCACCGGATTGTATTCGAAGGACTCCTTCGTGTCATTGGGCTTGATGCAACGCACATAATGCGGTGTTGTTGCATTTAATGTCGACATTAACATATTGAGTGAGTCGCGGAACTGCGAGCCAACCTATTTTCAGTTTGTAAACATAGAACTTTTGAGTATAACGACGTTTGGTGCAATAGTGCTTTGTTTTATCGATTGGTACGAGCATTGTATTTCTTCTCGTTGCTTCATTCCAATAAAATACGGAGACGCTTTTTTCCATTTTCGTTATTATATGGGTAATTTTTATGATTATAAAAACGTAAAGTTTATTAGGACAAATTATGGAGTTTCATAAAAAGTCAGTAATTAATAATATTAGTGCTACGTATGAAGAAAATTGAATTTGATAAAATTTCCAATTTTAAGTACCGAGGGCATTAAGCCATTAAAAAAATTATTATGAGTTCATTAAAAGTATAATTTAATAAATTCTATTTATTATAAAAATATAAAGGAATGTAAAAAATTTTTTTTATTCACATTTACAGTAAATCCATCTCAATGCAGAAGTCAAAAAAGTGTCTCCGTAAGCCATTGATGATCACGCATCTTATTATATACTAATATAGTATTATATAAACTTATAATTAATATTGTTTATAATTACAGTTTTTTTATTTTTTGTAGGCGACGATGCTGTCTGTTTTTGCGTAGAAACTTTTAATCTGGTATTTGGAACCGACAATTTGGGACCTTCTGCTGAGAATATTTTTTTCAATAATGCGTTCTATTAAATGTCAAATATTAAATATTTATTATTATATTTCATAATGATTTGATAAAATGGTATTATTAATTGGTATTATTTACATTGCTATTCCTTAAAACGTCGATTTGCTCCTCCACGACTGTATCTCGATTTTTTTCCAAAAATCCCGTCGTCTCGTATTCAACGAGATCAGCAAAATGATGAATAAGAAATGCCGTTGTGCCAAATCGTGGCTTTTCAAAATGCCTTGATTTTCCACATTTGGAGTATAATTTTTCTGCCCATGAACCGTCCGAGCCTTTTGGCATCTACAATATAATTATAATTTTTTGTTGTTGTGGTTGTTGTTGTTGATAAAGGCCTGTACTATTATATTAAATATTTAATGACCTAGTTAGCGATTGGAGTAATGTTAGCTAAGTAATTTTTTTTTTTTAATTGAAAGTTTGAAAACTTATTGTCTAAAGGACAGTTTTATATATCATTTTAATTGCCTTTTAATTTGATTATCATCAATATATATTTTCTTTTCTTATTTTCCTTCTTACTTAAACTCTCAATGTATCGTTAATTCTTTTTATTTCTTTTTATAATTCATTTTATGAAAAATAAATTTGAGTTTTTCTCAAAAAAAAAAAAAAAAAAAAAAAATCATAATAAATAAACAGATAGTAGTATCATTGATAAAAAATGATGATTATTCAAATACAAAATTTTACTTACAATCTAATAGTAAATGATGTTTATTAGGATAGAATGGCTATTAATTACTCGCAGAATTTTGTTTTTTCTCCATATATAATTAATTTTTTTAATAAGATGTATGTTGTGTTGAATGGAAATATTAATTGTAGTAGAATTTATTAAGATTATATATCGATGCTAAATTCGCCACTAATGTATGAAAAAACGTAGGTGTAGCCTTAATAAAAGTCTAACGTTTTTTATTGACAGATATTTTTACAAGATATTGTACACATCTTTATATTACATAATTTTGTTTTATATCCGTGTGTAACTTCGTATTGTGAGTATAGGCTGATGCCGACTAAAGCCTCTATAATTATTAATATAATTATATCTTATCTTACCCGACACTCTTCATCCAAGAGATCAAGAATACCCAGCTTCGTTTCAATGAGATCAATGCAGGGCTGATTATCGTAAAAGTCGATAAATGTCCATTCGATCTCCTCTTTCAAATACTCTTCCTGCTCGAGCTTGAAGACATGTTGATTGAATTGCTGCTGGAGTTTTTCATTGGCGTAGTTGATGCAGAACTGCTCGAAGGAGTTGACCTCAAAGGTCTCGAATCCGTAAATGTCGAGTACGCCGATGAAGCAGAGCGCCTTCGACGGGGACTGAAGGGATGCATTGATGTGTGTGACGATCCAGTTAAAGAGCTCGGCGTAAATGTGCTTGGCCAGGGCATCCCTTGCCCCCGACGCCTCCTTTGCGTTCATTGGCTTAAGAATCACTTCGCGTATAGAGACGATCTTTCGATGACACAACCACTTGCGCATCGCTGGCACATCCAAACCGAGAAGTTCCGACATTACGAGCAGGTGCTTATCGGCAGGCTGTTGGAGGACAATTGCCAAACTTATTATGAGACGTAGATAAGTTAGAGCCGGAATTTTTAATAATAATGGACTCGAAGTGAAAAACTAGTCAAAGGAGCTACAATTTCGCCAGCAGATACAATGATTCATTTATCTAATTGACCAAAATATATCTAATGTATTAAATTTATTATGCATTACAGCGACTATCGAGTTATTCTGTATATTCATTAGCCAAGTAATCTGTTAATGAATAGTGTTCAATTCAATTACCAAGTTGTCACTTCGAGTATATAAATTTATTTTCTTATTTTGCATGTAGATAAACAGCTTAAAAAATCCACATAACAACTCATAATGTCGTTTTGAAGGCACTTACCGCAATAAAGCAGCTGTCCATGTCATTAGATCCTCCGCCGCCTTCCGAGCCCTTAACTTTAACATTACCTAAATGTAATATAGCTGACAAGATGCGCAACATATCGTCCTGCTGTTTGGACGAGAAACCAAGCATAGTAAGAGCTGTAATGGTCTCGTCGAAGCAGCTCAAATCGCTGATACCCTCGATGTCTGGACTGCTGCCTTGATTCAGGTAGTGGAAGTTCCGTTGACTCTCCAAATGTAAATGGGGCAGTCGGGCTGCCGCTGAACATATTTGGTAGAATATATGGTAGTTTCTTTCCTCGTGTGCCTGTTCGGGTTGCCAATCCATCGTTGGATCAATCATTAAATATATCAATTTCAATTCTCGCGGAAGAACGTTTAAGCTCGTTTAGCTTTGCTCCATACAGATACATAAATAAGACTAATTAAAATATATGATATTTAGTCATATTGTCGTTTTCCGAACTTTCATCAATTATTCGTCTTAATTCATATTATTAATTAATATTAATTAATATTACTTATTTTATAATGAAGACAAATAATATAATAATTATAATTTTAAATGTACATGTATAATGAGCAGCGATGAACAATCAAGTGAAAATGTAATAGATATATCAAGCTATTGCTATATAATTGAATATATAATTGCTATATAATCGAACAAACCTACCTGCCATTCTAGCTTATTTAAATTATTAATAATTAATTCAATATTATGAAATAACTTCATTGATATATAAACGTATTGTAATCCATTAGTGTCCTTCGAAAATTACAGGGTTTCTTGTACAATATTCAGGAACCATTTAACGCTACATTCACATCTGTCTAAAAGAGCATTTTCGCAAATTAAGGATAATGAATACACGAGAAAGATTCACCTGGAAGACGACTCTCGATTTCTCCAGCAGGTAAGTTCTCATACTCGCGCCGATAATGTTGTAGTTCTTGTTGAATTGTATCTGAATGAATTTACCGAAACGTGATGAATTGTCGTTCCTCGTGGTTTTTGCATTACCTATCGCCTCCATTATGGGCGACGACGCGAGTACCTTCTTCTCGACTTGCGTTTCCTTCAAGGAGCCGCCGACCGTCGCGAAGTAGCGCATCGCGTACTTCGCGGAGACGGTCTTGCCAGCGCCTGATTCGCCTGACACGATGATGGACTGGTCGTGGCTCTCCCTAGAAAATTATGTATAATCATACATTTATCGACGTATAATCATGAGAAACGAGCATCAAGTTGGAAGTCAGTTTTATCTTGAATTTATTTATGTGCTAATATAATATTATTATAAACAGGAAAGTTAATGGGTTAAAATTATCTTAAAATATTAAATTCGTGGCTTCCTATAAGCTACAAAGTGCTTCGTGGCGTAACCATAAGAACATTAGTTTAGACAATGATTGTACTGTACAACGGAGTATTAATCATGGTAATTTTCATGTAATTATTTTTGTTTTGTAAAAGTGGAAAATTAGAGTGGAAGTACGACAATTTGTGAACATAAGCGATTATAAATGCTAATACTCCTATTACATTTATAGACAATATATAAATGCGATTTCTCCCATCTTGATTGGTTCCATTACTTTTTGGCTCATTATCTTATTTACTTAACTTACAATTTACATAAAAGTCTTTATTAATTTTCTAATAAATAATAGAAAGAGAAGCAATCTGTCTATTATAATTAGAAGTAGATAGGTAAAATAGTAACACATATTAGCGTACAGAACAATCATTGTATTACACTTACTGCCAATAACACAAAAGTTTAATATAGTAAAAACAAAAAAACAAAAACAAAAACAAAAAAAAATAGATATTTCATAATTTTAGCAATTTTACTTTACATGTTAAAATAGTAAAATTATAAAATTGAAAAATATACTTTAAATTAATTTAAAAAAAAAATTATTGTTCTTTACTCTTTGACTCTTAATCGTAATTTCTAAAATGATTATACAATTAAGGTGATTGTCTCTTTATGTTAAAAAGAAAAAATTTATTTCACTTATAGATAGTTGTTGTTAACGTATACACGGCTTACAATTCAATGAATAGCAATGTAATTTTCAAATTTTATTCACAACTAAAGCTTTAACATTGTAAAAACAAATTTGTTGTATACTGTTACGGCTAATTGACTATTACTTTCGTGGAGATTTCATAAAGATGCGAAATCTAACTCAATGCATAAAAAATCTGCAAACTTATTGCTTTGTCTAATGTGTTCAATATCTAATGATATGGGCAATAAATTTTGCACACTATAGCCTATAATGCTTTAATATAAAGATTTTATGTATGCGGTATAATTTGTTTTTACACGCGTATAGCAATGAAAGAAATGAGCTTACTTAAACAATGTACTCAGCTTCTTCAATAATTGTCTACCGATTACTTTACGTATGGCGAGTGATATAAATAAATTGAAACTCAATACTGCCATCCACTCCTTATTATGTTCTAATAGTTTACATGCTTTGATAACAACGTATATTATTACAAATTTACTAACTCGAATAATGTAAGGTAAGATTGCGTCACATATAGCATGAATATTATAACATAAGCAATAAAATAAGGGTCGATGCAAATAGAAAGGAATAAATATAGGAATGTGGGCTTGAAATATCTTACCTCTCGAGCTTGGTGTAAGCCTCCTCGGCGACGGCGAATATGTGGGGCTCGAGGTCGCCCATGGCCTGGCCCCGATAAGCCCATATTGTATCGTTGCCATAAATGGGGAGCTCGTTGTAGGGGTTGAAAGCGACGAGGACGATACCGCAGTAGGTGTATATGCTGTGCCGCTGAAAGCGCACCTGGAGGTTGTACAGAACCGCGGGCTCGTGGAGGAACGAAAGGGATGTGAGGTTGTTCTCGCCTATGAGGATATCGGGGTTGCGGAGGGGCGGCAGATCCACGTCGGACTCGAGCTCCAGCCTCGTGTCCTGGTGCGAGTCCTCCGTTAGCAGCCACAGGCTCTTGTCTTGGGGCTTGTAGTCCTCGAGAAGGCGTGCGCTCTCCCATACCTTCTCTGCGTGCGGCACCCATACTCGTGCGTCCTGGATAAGAGGAGGTCGTGTCAATATCAAGGCGGGGGCATTTCTTTGATTTGCCGAGAGCTTGGGAACAATTAGTAGGGCTACATATATATGTCGTTATTTTCGGCGAGTAGTACCGACGCGCGAGCATTTTCATCCACAACCTTTCACCGGTTGCGCTGCTAATGAAGAACCTACTTTTAATCATGCTCAATGTATTTTCACAATGATTTTCAAACTTGCAGTGCCTTATTATGAAATTGTGATAATGATTATTACGAATCCACTACGAATAGAGGGGGGGGGGATGAGAATTAATTTTAAATAATTATATTTTAATATTAATGCAATAAACTACAGTTATGACTATATTAATAATTGGTAATTTAATATCCTATTTAATATTATATTAAAGAAGGAATGTGTATTATAATTAGGTGCATTTCCTCGCCTACCTGAAATCTGACATTTTTCAATAGAAATTTTATGTTATACCAGTAGATGTACTTTGAAAGATTGGACCAAAATGTTCTTTATAAGATAAATATTAATCTAATATATCTAATGCGAATGTAGATTTACATTTTTTAATATTGGTCAGATCCTACTGTTAAAATTACTACTGAAATAACGCTGTATCGATTTTAAAATTTAAAAGCGGGCACCTGTTATGTCCAAAATGATGTTTAAGAAACTTTGCCAGCGCGAATATTAACGAGAAAGAAGTAAAGAATTTTAACAGTCAAAATATTCTTTAGGTATCTATCTGGATTTTGATGATAAACAAGTTCATAGTTACAAAATTTCATTTAGCCTTGCGCTGCCAAATCAACCACTAGTTGCATCACTTAATTAATTATAAAGAAAAATATGTATTTGTCGGCAAACTAAAAGCATTAAAGGCATTAAAGGAACCACGCGTGCATGGTCACGGTTTGCCAGCAATCAATCACTTCATATCCGGTACATCAAATTCGATGCTCGGGAAAATGCATCGCCACCACACATGTATTTTACATACTCGTGTACATGCATGGATTACGGATCCTTGAAAGGTTAGGAAATGCTTGGCGAAATAACGATTAGAGATGTCACGTCGGTATTACCGACAGGCCACTCAATTTTTTTCTTCAGTCAATAGATACCATCAACACACTTTTTCATGCTTTATTGTAAATGATTTTAAATAAGCTGCGTACGAAGAATAATTCGTGATGAAAACGTTAGAATTATGGGATAAAATGCAAGAATACCGATTCGGGAATTTAAAAAGTTCGAATTGAAATCAATATCTAATTAAATTCAAAGAATAGTGGATGTTTTATAATATTCTTCTTATAGTAGGCGGGATGAGTAATTGACATCGATTTGACAAAGATTAAGAAATTATTATGATTGCCCAATTATTTCAAGTTATTTGCGATGAAAATAATATACACGGTTTATATTAATATATTAAGGATTAATCACGGTAGAGAGAAGGAGAGAGGGAGAGAATCGCACACAGAACGAGAGGGAGAGAGAGAGCGAGAGACAGAGAGAGAGAGAGAGAGAGAGAGAGAGAGAGAGAGTGAGAGAGAGAGAGAACAAATTATACCGATCGAAAAGTATTAAAGATTTTAATATTATTAAATAAACAGGAATTGACCAAGTGATTCAGATACAAAAAATTTTAATTATTTATATTTTAAATTTCAAGTATGCAAGGATTTTATAGATTTAATACTAAATATTAAATGCAATATTAAATAAATCCATAAAATTAATACATATTAATATTTTAAATTCGCACAATTGTTATTATTTGTAAACTATACTCTATATTAAAAGTAAATGAAGTTTCTAGTAAACATTAAATTATTAACAGATTATTTTTGTTTATGATTTTTGCTCTGTTAATGTGATTAAATTAAAATAATATATCTCACTTTACAAGCTATGTTTTTAAAAATTGCATTAAATTTTAATTGCATTTTTTTTTGTATTAGTTTATTCATTATGTTTGCATTAGTACCATTTAATAATATAATGTATATTAAGTACATTACAGAGTAAAATATAAATATCCAATCAATCACATGTAACAAATAAAATAAATATTAAAAGATTAGATGTTTAAAAATTAAACGAAGTACCGGGACGATATAGGAATACAAGAATATGAGCAAGAAATAAAACAATAAAAAATTTAGAAAAAAAAGGGGAAAAAGTAAAGAGAAACTGGCTGATGATTGAGAGATGATGATGGAATTCGGGTAGACCGTTAATAATTTTGGTTATATTTCAGTAAGTCAACCAAATGTTGGTGGATGTTTTTCATTCTTTTTTTCTTTCTTATGTTATAGATTTGTGTTATTTGCACTCTTGTATCATTTTTATTGTTTAATTTCTAGCTCATAGACATTTTTAGACTTTGCATCCTCGTTGAATTTATCTTTCGTGTAGTTATAATGTGAATTGTCAATATATTATATTTTCAAAATTAACCTCTTCACAATTAGTTTATTAATTTATATCAAGATGAAATCATTTATTTTCCAAGTAATACATATATTTGTTGAACGCAGCTTCAGATTTGAATTTTAGATACAATCATAAATTTCTCAAAATAAATGAGTCTAATAATGATCCTATTAATATTCAATTGAAATTAATCGTACTCACTGAATGCTCTTTATTGTATAAATACAAAATCCATTAAATTTCAATCTCGGTAAATTATTTTCCTATTTAAATATAATTTCTTGTTTCTAAAATGCCTTTTTGACGCGTGATTTAATACTCTCATAAAATTCATTGCTAATGAAGCATTTACTAAAAGAAAAATGATAATTCATTTTACATTGTGTCCATAATGCAAATTAGTTTTATATACATTTTTCCAGTTACATACAACTTTTTATTTAAATTGCATACCTTTATAACCATTAATAACAATTTATATTTCTATAATATACATTTTTCAAACAGTAAAATAAAATTGCAAGTTAACTGTCTTAATAAAATATAACGAATGAACAGTGAATAGAAAAACCGTTGGATATAACCGGTATTTGTAGCTGTTAAACAAATGCCTATATTTAGTGCACATGGATATAAATGATTGGACTGTTGTACGGGATGTATATATCAGCTATTTTAGAGAATCAATCATATCTCTTTCTCACACATTTCAATGTGGCCGTGAAAAATATAATGCTATACAATTGCAACGGTTTTCTCTGTATTGATTTAAATATACGCGATTAACTGCAAAAGTCGTTACGACTGGTTGAAACCGTTGCATGACCTAAGGAGCTTTGCTCTATGATCCAAAACATTGTATTCGTCGATAACGAAATGTACAGAATCTGTCCATATTCATTGTATCAATAAAAGTAGATCTACTAAGTCATGCAATACAAAGTTTTTTTTTTTTAAATCAGCGACTCTATTAATATGACGCTAAATCTATACATTGTAACAAAACAGATAAGTAATTAAATATACGTGATTGGATTACTATATAAAATACAGCTTTGTATGTAATTATCTGCTTTATAAATACATGGCCATTCAACAGCATTAAATTAAATTTGATATTACTTAAATATTTCTTACCTATTGTCTACCTAAATTTTTATTACTATTGTCTGTTAATATTGTTTTATATACAAATTTAAATAACAAATGCAAAATAAATATTAAATAATATAAATAATTAAACGCTGACTATTTTCATATAATATTTAAAATCATTATTTTATGTATTTATTTATATATTTAAATAATATTATTGCATGTCAATGTTCTTATAATACTAAAGATATTTCTAACTGAGAAACCAATGGAAAGTAGATAATAAAAATGGATAAATAAAATACACTTACAGTAATGGTATTTATAGTTTTTATACCCAAACTAACTTCGTTAATTGCAAATTATAATTCTTATTCAATTTATACTTAACTATGCACAACTTTATCTTATCAGAAGTATCTAATCATAAGTATTTTAGTGTTTTAATTAAAATCCCCCCCCCCATCTACATAATATAATAAGTAACTATAAAATTGTTTCAGATTTTTTATACACAAAGTATCAAAATCAGAACAAGTACAATTTTGAGTATACACAAATAAACTATTTATACCGGGTAAAGCGCAGGAACTTCTGTTTCCATAGAGATTAATTACACAGATTATCAAACAACAGATTAAAATGTTATATTTGAAGGTAACGATCTTTTTTAGTTAAAGTAAAAGATTAATTTATTTGCTGATACAGGTGACGTTTGATTTAGCAGCATAAATGTAAATAAAATAAGCTACAAAATGATCAAACAGCAAACCGTTTATGTAAAATTGTAATAATATTTAGTATTGTAAGGTTTTTAAGGAATGTTTAAATGCATGTATTACTCCGATTAGCTACCAAATTTTGTAACCTTTGTAAACGATGAAATTAATTTTTCTTTCGTCTATATATTTTTTACCGAGCATTTATCAAACATCGACCAAATATTCAAATGACTATACCTCTGGTACAGCCCTTTCAGACCCCTAATCATTTTTAAATATTCACTTATCAGAAGCTTCGTGATGAAAATAGTATGAAAATTCAAAGTTTATCGTAATATCTTGCCGTTCTTTAAAGAAAAACTGCAGATACAATAGTTCATCGAGGATTGTAAAACTTATATGCGTATATGATAGTATGATAGGCGGCATAAGTCAATTGACAGTCGATTACCAGAGATTGTGAATCGATTCCGACGTTTATGGAGCAATGAAAAAGATTTCATAAAATATAAAAGGTTTGGAATATATGAACTTGCAAATTACTATTGATAAATATTGATGTTCTTGTAATTTTTTATGCTCTTTGACGACTTTTTTTATACTTTTTTTTTTAAATTTTAATACGTATTGTTAAATACATTTTTTTTCCTTTTAATTATTGACAATTTAAAAAAAACAGTTCTGTAGTTTTTATAACCATATAATTCGAAACTTTTGATAAAACTAAGGTATAAAATCTTT